GGTTCAGGAGGATACAGCATTTGCAGCTTGTCCAGCTGCCTGCCGTCCTCGGGGCTGCTGTGTCCCTTTAAGACCGGCACATGAGCTGTGTTCCAGTAATCCCTTCTCAGGGGCCTGCCCTGCAACGGGAAATGTGGGACAAGCAGGGTTTTGAGATTATCTCTTGCTCTGCAAAACTACTCCCTTGGTGCTTTAGAAAGAACTCGCTCCCACAGCAGGCAGGAGGCAGCAGCATCTGGCTGGGGCCACCACCCGCAGCGTGACATGTCCCTTGTCCCCAGCGACACCCCGTGGGGTCATGACAGCTCACGTGTGTGTTCTGCCCTCTGTGCACCACATATGTGCACTCTGTGGCTGTCACCAAACCATCTGGTCACTGTCACCCTCAACAGAGATCGCATTTCGCTGCCTATTCCCCCACAGGGATGCGGTTACGTGATGCGATGGTGATGCCACCTTTGGAGGGAGGTTCCCACGTCTTCCACATGGATCTTGTTTCGCACACCCTCGCACCAATGTGGTTTTTGAGTCAAATACCCCACTTTGAAGTTTTTATTTATGGGCTTCCCTCAAAACCTCATTCCTGGGGTAGCAGGCAGAGCCCATAAGCTTTCCTGAGAGTGAGCTGCTCCATAGCACAGTGCACAACCTCCTGCAACCTAGTATCACGGAGATACCAAGGCAAGAGCTGTCTGGCTTAATGTGATGTAAGTCCAGCAGGGATGAGCCACACCTCCGTGATTAAATGGAATGGGATCGTTTGTACCAGCGGGAGGGCTTGAGATACTGTGTAGTTGACTGCTGATGGTCCAGAGCAGTGAAGATGCTTCAGGCATCCAGGCTCTGCTGGAATTATGGATCAACCAGTGCTGGTGTGTATCCTGGAAGTGGCACTGTCTCCTGACTGGGCACTTTGATGTTTGGACCAATCTGATGGCAAAACAGAGAAGGACAGGAAATGAAATCTTCGTTCAGCATCTCGCCTCTGTGTCTGCATCAGTTTGTTTGAAGCCAGCAAGTTTGATTCGGATATGTTCTTGAATCAAACCTTAGCTGGTATCTAAGTGTTGAGTGGACTAAGTCGGAAATATGTATCCTGCTCCTGGACATGAGTACATCGTCTTTTACTAAGCAAGGTAGGTGGCAGATAATGGTAATATTTCATATCCATACTAAAAAGGAATGAGAGAGAGGACGAGAGGACAGCCAACAAGGTGTTCTCACTTTCTTATTGCTCCACTTCCCACATCTCTGTCACGGTGCACTAAATCCCGTGCATTTAGCACCTGAGCTCCTTTATAAAGCAAAACCACACCCAGAATCCTGACTTTTGCTTCAGGATTTCATATAAGAAAATAAAATAACCTGGACTCAATAAGAAACTACATTCAAGACCAGGCTGGATGGGGCCCTGGGCAGCCTGACCTAGTGGTTGGCATCCCTGTCTGTAGCAGGGGGCTGGAACTAGGTGTTCTCCTCCAACCTAAGCCATTCTATGATCAACCAAGGGACAGCTCTTTAATACTGTCATATTGACATCCTTTATCCCTCTCTTGGTAACTTTTCCTGTGTGCTTTGCATGACTGACTGAGCACAGTCACTCCACTGATACATGGTACCTGCTGCTGTTCTCTCTCTTTGCTCTAATGGAAAACTGCATTAGTAGTCCTGGGCCTTATTAGTGATAAAATGCCGTCACAGAATGTCAGATCAAATACTCCCCTCTGTTCCTATCCTTTCCCCAGCCCCTGGAAAATGTCTGTTAGTTGACAGAACCAAGTAGGGTTTGGCAGATTGTTCCATTTGAAAAGATGGGAGGAAAATAATTCGGATTTCTCAGTCCAGCCCGAACAGAGCAGGGAAAGAGGGAAAGAGCAGGAAAGCTGAAAATGATTACTCCCATAATTTGGAAAGAATGTTACATATATATATATATGTTATATATGTGTAGAGAGAGAATGTTATATATATATATATATAATTAAAAACAAAAACATCAAAATGCACGAAGGAGAAACCTTTCTCATCCTACTTCCTGCTGGTCTGCATAGGCCTTGCTGTTTTGAGAACGTGCCCCACTTCTCTTTGAAACACTGGGTGTAGGACGAAGCAAAGGCCCTTCTGAAGAGGGTCAGCCTGCCCTGCAGAGCAGGAGGTGTTTGTTTGCAGAACGGAATTAGAGCTGACAGTTCCAGCTTGGTTTTCCTTTCCTTCTCTTGGGGAGGATGGGAGTTACCAAATGCAAGGCTGTGAATGGTAGAAGCTAATTTTAAGCTAAGAGTGAAAGGGAAGAGGCTGGAGTACCTATATTGATTGCCACTTTTGTTGCTTTTAATGAGGAGTTTTTCAAGAGCCTGTGATGGAGCCAGGTTTAGACCCTGGGTCTGCTTGCTCCTGGCATTGGTGCCCTTTTGCTCTGTGGCATACACCTGTATCAAGTCAGGCTGATCTAAAAGTTAGAGGGAAAAATGGGAAACAACCTAGCAAGGGGTGTTAAGCCATCCACGATTTTATCACATCTTTATCCTGGACTGGGAGAAAGGACTTTACTAGATATTCTGTACTGAGTGTTGTCTTTGTGGTTGCGTGGCCAGGTGGATGGTGTGGGAAGTATTGTCCTAATAGTGGTGGTGATGAGCAGTCGTGCAGCATTTCTCAGAAGTGGAAGGATGTCTTCAGCAAATTCTAATTTGTGTCATTTCCTTCTGAGCACTGAACTCCACGCACGTGTTTAAGTACTGATATCTTATACAGATTGCCTAACAGCCCAACTCTTGTGCCAGTGCTGTGCTCTGCTGAGCCTGGAGCACGGTCCAGCTCTCTCCAGGCTCTATCTATCGTGACAGTCCAGGCCTTGGTTTCTTTCAAGAACTGTTCAATTTGTGGCATAAGTTGTAAAACACTTTTACTGCAACCAAAGGATTTTGGTGGAGTCTTGAAAGAGGGTGGCAAAAGGAGCACGAGGAAAGTCTCTTCTTCTTGATTTTAAGACCAAAATGTAGAATTGATAATCTTACTGTAAGATCTTAGCAATTTCCCTGTTCGGTGCGTGCTCTATCCCACATTGCCCTCTAGTGAGGACATTTCAGAGTGTATAAAGCGCTGGTGTGAAGGATTTTTTTCTCTGTTCCTTATCTTGCCCTTGGTTCCATGCACTTGGTTCTGTGTTCTTGCTTGTATGTGACACTGCTTCACCACCACCACCTGCAGTGGTGGTTCTGACAAGTATTAGAATTGGTCCCTCTTGTTCTGCCTGCACCAAACAGCAATGTCACTGTGCCCCCAGGTCTCTGAAGCTGTTAAACACTTACAGAAAGCCATCAAGCCACAATTAATAAGTTTTAAAAAAGAGAAAACGTATATCTGCTGCCTTTGGAGAACCAGTCATGCCTGCCTGATCCCATCTCTATGGTGTACACTCCATCCAACATGCCCACACGTGCTTGACAGTAATTACACATAAATTCATAATTAATGCACAGTTATTGAAGAAACACCTAATCTTTGCTTGCCATATTAATAGACATGGCCATTTCTCTGCCAGATTATATCTGTTAAAACAAATTCTTCGACTCCCAGTAACAGAGTGGGTGGCCTGGGGAGCTGGGGTGATCTGAACCATCACCCGGCCCTTGATTCAATGATAGACACTAATGCCACCTAGTGACCAAAAAAAAATATGGGCAAGGTTGCCAGCCAGTAAATCTGGTTGCCCAGAGCACCATCCGATATGGCCTTGAAGGTCTCCAGGGATGGAGCATCGCTCTGCATAGTAAAAATGAAGTTATTTTTTGACCACACCGTCTTATTCTGCTTGGCTGAGCTGTCAGCAGCAGGTGTGGTTTGCATTGCAGTGGATTGGTGATCTCCTGGGAATGTTTTGTAGCTCTGCTCATTTCTCCAGCTTCTGAGAACTGCACAGAGTTAAATTAAAGGTTTCCCGTTAAGGAACTTGAGGGCTGAGTTATCGGTGTTATGTGCCTTATGCACGCACCAAGATGCTGGGCAGCACCCACAGGGAGGTTGGAGGGAGGCGTGGATTGTATCCTTGCTGGAGAGGTAAAGCAGTCTGATGTGATCAGGCTTCTTCATGGAACATCCCTGCACTCCCAGAGCCGCTCTCCTCACTGCTCAACCCAAAGCAAACAAGCAGGTTTCACTCCACACTGTTCAGAATTCCCTGTGATTTCTTCAGAAATCCACTTACGAGGCCCCTTAGGGACTTTGTGTTGTTTCTGCATCCCATGCGAAGGTGCTAAATATGTTTCTGTTGTCTAATTTACAGATGCTGTGTGTTATCTCTACTGCTTCTTTCTCTGGATTATCCTTGTGTCCCCTGCCTTTCTGCCCTGGATAATTGGGAGTTGGCAATGTGCCTGTAGCCTTCCTGTTCCAGGGCCAAAATGGGAATGAGAATAAATGCTCTAAATATTGTATTGAAGCAAGTAATTGGCTCACAAAAGCTCTGCAGGAGCAGTAAGCCTTCACAAGAGCTCTGAATGGCTGTATGTCTTGGGGAGTGTTTGTTACATGGCAAATATCAATATATGATGGGGAGAAGGGTTTCTCAGATTTGAGTGAATGCTCCTACCTGCCCAAAGGGACTTCACCCAGCAGTCTGTGACAACTCAGCATTTCGTAGGCATGCTGATCCTAAATTCTGTGAATATCCATATCTACAAGGAATTTAGTTGGAGGTGGCAAAGGTAAAGATTTCCCTGTGGGTACCTTGTGCTGGCCAATAAGATCCAACCAACACAATATAAATCCATGCAGTCTTTCCAGCTAATAGAAATCCTTCAGCATTGTCACAGCTGATCCTCTGTTTTTTTCCTGAAAGTCTATGGAGAAATGAAAAGCAGTTTGGGTGCCTTTTCTCTGAAGCGTTTGATACACAGACATATCTGTCTATTTGGTACCCCAGTAAGACCGTCCCATCTTGCAGAAGACCAGAACAATGTGAGCCAAGTACTGATTTTCTTTTTTCTCTTTCCTTGTAGGGATCCTGTTTACAATGCTGGTATTTGGACCAGCCTGTGGATTTATCTTGGGCTCCTTCTGTACCAAAATCTATGTGGATGCTGTGTTCATCGACACAAGTAAGGAAAACTGAATTTTGTGTAAAATCAAATGTTTTAATGTATCAGCATGTCAAAAGCACTGATGCTTGCAAGTATGAGCTGCTTCTCATTCCTTCTTGAGAGTCCCTTGCATGCATGGATATCGCTTTTAGAGGCTTCTTGCTTTTTTTTGACCAAGATCCCAAACTTTTCAACTCTGACCCCATAAACAACAGGTTTGTAGTGGCTGAAATTTATTCCTTTCTACTGTGAGATGAGTTTTCAGCTCTAAGAGCATGCCTGAAAACATCACTGTGTTCAAGCACTGGGTAGCACGGATGTAGTAATGTTAGGGCAGCTGTGTCCAAAGCATGGCATGAAATCTGTAGAGCTGCCATCCCCAGGACCTGGGAGTATCAGCCGGGCTCTCAGATGGAAGCACACCCGTACCATGCCCAGTGCCACCTGCAAATGACCCTGTGGGCAGGTCAGTCCCACAGCATTGTAGATGTCTGCCAAAATTAGTGCTAATTATTGTTCACCTTGACTCCATGTTGGCTTAAATCAAGTCGTTTGCAAATTTTGAAAGAGCCAGCAAATTTTTATAGCTAGCTGCACTGTGCCTCTTTGCCATTAGAGGGCAATGTGTTACAGGCTTTTCTCCACTGCTTCCCGAGCCCTGCGGACCGCAAACCTAATGCTTCACGTTGTCACCTTTGAGGGTGTGCTCCAGTTTTGTAAGGTTGCTAAAACAGCTTCACAGGATGCAGTTGGATGGAGTTCATCCTTGCAAGGGTCAGAACCCCTTTCTTAGTCTTGTCTGTGTATGGCAGCTAGAGAAGTCTAAGTAATATCACACATGCAGGAAAGTAAGTCTCTTTTTGATAGCCAAGACTTTTAGCTGTGCTTTGGTCAAGCACCACATGGCCTGTTTCCATTCCTTGTAAAGATATACAAAACACTCAGATGGTCCTCTAGGCAGAGGTGCTTGCTTGAATGTTGTTCCACATTTGGCCATTAGAGCATAATTCAGTTCAAAATATGGACGTGCAGAGGAAGGTGCTCCTTCTTCCATTAGATTAAGCTGTGGAACTCCTCACCACAGGGCATGAAAAATTTACAAATGAGTTCAGAAACAACTGGATGAGGTTATAGAAAGAGAAATGAAAAAGACACTGTACCTGGTTTATAATGTCCCCAAACCACAAATTGCAAGAAGTACAAAGAATAGCATCAGGAACATGTTGGCTTTATTCTTGTGCACTTTTTGGGTATCTGTAGTTGGTTCTATCCAGGCAGGGTGCTGGCACAGGTGAAAAATGAATTAAATCTGATTGTTTTTACATAGGATCATTGCTCCATGTTTAGAGCTCAGAGAGCCCCAGATAATTCAGGAGCTGTGGAGGAGGGTGGTGGTGGCATTAATGCTGGAGGAGCTGTGGCTCAGCAGGTTGTAGATAGGGGATAGCACTTTCCAGCTGCAGGTCCAGCTGGCTTTGGCCATGGTCCATCATCATCATGCAAAGGTTGGGGCACACGTGGCCTCAGCTTGTTTTTGAATGGCAAGGAGACTCTACATTACAGCTGGAGACCAAACTCCAGAATGCCAACCTGTCCTGCTTCCCATTTCGGACCGAAGGTGTGGGGTGCCAAGACTCCCTGTGGCACAACCCTTCATACAGCACCTGTACAGGAAGGGGATGTGAGGAAGACTTTTGTTTACGTTGGCTCTTCTTGTGGATGTGTTCCCAGGAGCCTGAAAAGATGTGCTTTCAGGCAGGAGGAAATAACAGCAGAAAAATTCAATCCCTCCAAAAGACTATTTTTCAAACTTTATATATATTTGAGTGCTGCACGTTATTTTCCCTAAGGAAAAAAAGAGTTTCCTTCTGTCTCTGCTCGAGAGACAACTTGATTGCCTCACTTGAGACAGATATGTCAGTAGCCGTGCCCAGACAGACATGGTGAACAGAGCAGCTTGTTATTGCAGCCCCATGGAGCCCGGTCTCCTGGGGAGCCAGCTCCCAGCACTGGTCACCCTCCACCAGTGCTTAGTGGCCGTGGCAGTGGGGTTGCTGTTGGGAATACAGCATTTGCTCTCCTGTTGCTTATTTTAATTCCCATAAATTGACACCGGTGCTCTCTCTTTTCCTTATCTTTGCTGAATGGCAGCCAACATGATACCCTTGCCTTTTACTCTGCTTTTCTTCCTTTGCTGATGCTATCTCTACATTTCCAGGCCCAGCTGCTACAGTGAATGGGTCTCTTTTCCAACATTTTTTACATCTTGTAAATGTTTCCCAATATTTAGGATGCTCCGCATTCTTACAGCTGCTCATACTGCCCAAATGTCCAAAAGGACTCAGGCCAGTGAATTCAAAGCCAAGTGCTGACCTGGATGAGCCAGGATGGAGATGCAGCATCCTTGTCTGTGCTGGTTCTATTCCATGCAGGTCTTTGCATGTCAGCTATATGTGTTTACTGTTCATTTTGGCATTTCCCAATCTTCATGCAGTCACAGGTTGTAAGTGAGCACAAGTTTCACACCATGGAGCCCATGTCAGTATGCATTGTGTTGCAGGATGCATCTCTTGTACGCTCCTCCATCAGCCATCTCCATAGCCAGCCAGCAGCTTTCAGGGAGGGCACTGAGGGCTTTTTATCTGTTTAACACTCTGGGCCAGTGAGACCTAAAACCTCAGTGCCATCAAAGGGGACACTTGATACACAGCAGCATCCTAGTGTTGGCAGAGCCAAAGAGCTGCAGAGAAGCTCTGACTATGGAGTTTTGCAGAAACTGGAGGTGCCACCAAGGTAGACAAGGCTGCTTGTACTAAAGACCTCTTGCAGGGGGAGATCTGCATGTGCTGGCAGCTCGCACGGGATGGGTGCAGGATGCTCCATGGGGCCAAAAGACCCCCAGGCTGTAGGATCCCTAACTCCATTGTGTTTCCTTCATCCCACCAAACCACTGACTTCTGTTTTCCCTTGCAGGTAAGCTGGACATCACCCCAGATGACCCTCGCTGGATCGGTGCATGGTGGGGAGGCTTCCTCCTCTGTGGTGCCTTACTCTTCTTCTCGTCCCTGCCCATGTTTGGCTTCCCGCAGTCCTTGCCCCCAAGGCCTGAGCACGCTGGGGAGAGCGAGCAGGCCATGCTTCCTGACAGGGACTACGAGAGGCCCAAGCCGAGCAACGGGGTCCTGCGGCACGCGTTGGACGCAGAGAGCAGCACAACCTGCTTCCAGCAGCTACGAGGTGATGCACTGCCTCTGCTCACGTTTTCTTTGAGAGGCAGCAGCAGGCTACCAGCTGGTTGGATTTATAATTGGGCTCTGATTTGGGCTATCTACCTTTACCGAGGAAAAAAATACGAGCCTCTTATACTGAGATGTCAGTCCCTAGCTTCTAATTATCTCTGGTATTGTCCTCATTTTAAAGACAGACTTTGTTCCACTTGAAAGATTTTTCTTAAAATAAAAAGCTTCAGAAATCCGTGATAGTCCTGTGGAGTTGATAAAAACGAAGGGGAACACAGTCACTGCAGCAGTTTGTGAGCTTCTCTCCAGTCTGCAGTCCTGCTTCCCTCTGCCTCCCAAAACAGAGAGCCAGCAAAGGCAGACAGAAGAGATGGGGAACTCCCAGCACTGGGGAGACAGCAGGGCCATTGCAGCCCCACAGCATAGCAGGACACAACATAGCCCTTAAGAATGGGGAAGAGAGAGATACCAGCCTAGGATAGCAACAAAGCAGCAAGGCAGAAAATGGCTTGTAGCAGATGAGAATAGAAAATCCCATATCACGTCCTTTAGTGATGTCGATGAAGCTGGTTCTAATTAAGGTCAGCTAAAGATCCTGCATTGTGCAGGAGTGTGGGCACATATCCTTGTTCAATACACCGCAACAGAAAATCCTTCATCTGAGAGGATGAAGAACTACCAGTTCTGTAGCACTGGTGGCTTCTTCCCACTCTCTGTCACTGTGGCAGAGCAGGTCTTGTTATTGTCTATCACGTTTTGATAACCGAGGACAAAATCACTTATTCCCTGTGCAGCTGCCATAACTGGGAGTTGAATGAGGTGCGTGTGGGAAAGAAAAAAAGGCTTTGGGAAAAAAATATTTGCTCAGATATAAAAAAAATGCCTTGAATAGTTGATGTGGTTGTTCATTAAGGGAAGGTCAAAGATGTGAAATATTGACTTGATGAGAAAATTCAAACAGAAGGAAAGGTAAAAAGATAGATTGTTTGAAAATGTGTCAGTGGAATGATTGCTTTTATCTTCCTGTCCTCGCTGCGAGGATTTTCTCAGGTTTGGGAAATGGGTGTTTTCCGTGGTACATCCAGCTGGGTGATTCTGTGGCTTTTGTTGTGGACTCATTGGAGCATCTGTTTCTGGCTGCTACATTTTGGCACGGGCTAGAAATTTTTGCAGGTTTTCATACAGAGGAATAAAAGAATGTGGCATGTCCTTTCTGCATGGAGGGGTCGCAGTTCTGCCTGTGGATGATGCAGAGCAAGCTGACTTGCACACAGAGAGGCCGCAGAGATGGGTGCCACAGCAGCTACTGCTCATTGAAGTACGGAAATTAAAATTCCACATCCATATGCTTCAAAGTATTGGTTACATCAGGAGGCACCACACTCTTCCACGTTACTCTTGTAACTGCGGGTAAAGTCCATTCGGATCAGTGAGTTCCAGAAGTCTCTTTGTAGATGGACTTTGAAGTACAATTTACATCACATCAAATAAGACAGCACAATCAAATAACGACCTTTTTAGTTATGCCTTTGAGGCTGTCACAGCCGACATGGTGTTGGTAGCTGGCATCTTCTTTCAAGTCCATTGGCACTTTTGTCTGAGTCAGAACGTGGCCAGGAGTCACATTTGCCCAAGTGCCCTCTTGAAGGTGAGCAGACATGAATGGCAAGGGAGGACTAACCTCACCATCTCTGATGCGGAGTGCTGAAGGTGGAGGCTTCAATCTTGTTGTGTATAAATATATATTGTTTTGCCAGCAGCTGAAAAATATATATGCATTCCTCTGTGACAGAGCCTCATATCCTTGATCCGTTTGCTGATTGTGTAAAGTTTCCTCTGGGGAAGGTCAGACCTGTTTATTGTTTTTCCTGGGATGAAAAGGAGTGATAATTGCATACGGAGGCTAAAAATATATATGTGTGCATATAGTTGTCTCCTGGCCTGTCGTGGGCTTGGAATTTGTATGTGTTTGAGAAGCTGAAGAACAGAAGATGTACATGGGGTTGTGGGTGGAAGCATTCTTCAGGGTTTGTGTGGTCAGTAACTCCAGCAGCTGTTCTGTAAGTGTTGTCTCTGCAGCTCCATCCTGAACAGGTGTGTGCTGGGCATCAGTCCATGGCTGCATGGAGGTGTGTGGTTGTCCATCTCTTGTGCATTGTGTGGAAAGGAGAGTTTATACTCTGGGCTTTGTGTGAATGGGCTGTAGCAGCAGTGCACCCTTGGAGGCTGAGCTGAGAATCCTTTTTGGCTATTAAATGGTTCTGATTATTTATTTATTTTTTTTTTCCCAAGCCTTGCAGTGACTGCTGCAAGTGAGTGGCCATGGCAGGAGGGAAGTAGGGCAGTGTCACCTGGAGATGTGCTCTCAACAGGGATGTGACTGTCAGCTGGTGTCAGGGCACATCTGGAGCATGGGAGGATGCTCAAGACACTGCAAAGTTTGCTGAGAGACATTGAGATGGAGGGCTGGGTGAGATTCCTTGGCTTTAGCACAGGGAAAAGCTGTGACTAATATAACAGCAACCATCTTCCCCTTTTTCACAAGGAAGGAGCAGGCTGTCCTCCAGAAAGCCTGGAGATGGCACTGGGAGGTGCTTACCATCTCCAAATGAGAGAATGAGTGCTGCACCATTTTAGGTGATTTCTATTCCAGTTAAGCAACACAAGTCCATTTGGGAGCACAGGGAAGTGAAGGATTAATAGCAGGGAGAGGATGGATAAATGCTGCCATTGATCTTTACTCATATGGCAGACTGGCAGGGTTGTTCCAGCCCAGCACTCTAAGTCTGTGAAAGCAGTCCCTGCTGCCCTGAGGGCACAGCTTTCCATTCATACCTCTGTGCTGCCCCAGGGACCTCTGTGCTGTTGGGGCTGGAGATGATGCTCAGATCTGGCAGGGCACCTGTGCCCTCTGCTCGTGTCTGCCCAGCATCTGCCCTCTGCCTTGTGCTAACACGCCGCTTCTAATGCACCACCTGCTCCAGGACGTGCTTGGAAATACACTGTCGGAATCAGTTTTTTGCAGGAAAATATCCATCTCTTTGAATCTGAATGGTCAATTCTGCTGAAATTCACTGTCAAACTGCTTCCTTGGCTTTTTCTTTAACCCTTTTGAAACATTCAGCTCTAAATGCGTTTTGTTTTCGAATTATTTAAGCTAGAAACTTACTGCATCTGTCTAGAGAGATGAAAAAATGTAAAAAGGTTGAAATTGATATGGAATCCTTCAGCTTTGGAGCGAGAAATTCATTCACAAGGAATTCAAGGAAAACCTACAGTGGAATTAAATGAATTTTGAAACTACAAATTCCCTTGATTTGGAAACATTTTGGTTTCCACCCAGCTTCATTTCCAAGAGTGTAGGAGGGCTGAGATGTACAGCTGACAGCTGTCTTGTCTTCTGTTCAGATCCTTCCTGCTCTGTGCACCAATCTGCTGACTACCCGGGGGGAGAGCTGCTCTGCATGCTGGGTTTCTCTCCCCACAAGTGCCCCCTGGTAGTGCTGGGGCAGGAGCTCCCAGCTGTGTGGGGGTCCCAAGCCATGGAATGCCTGTATTCCTCAGGGAGAGCACATAGGATTGCACGAGATCAGCAGCTAACAAAATTAGCTCTAAATTCACAGCTTTAATGAATCTGAGAATGTCACAGGTGCTTCAAGTCCTGTCTCTCAAGAAGCATGTTTGACACAAGTGTCATCCTTTTCCTTCATACCATCTGTGATATTAATCTTGCCCAGACCTTATGGACTTTGGTATATTAAACTCACCTGAGTTATCTCTAGTGCCTCGTGTCCTCTTCCATCTTCTCTATTATAGGAGCTGCCTCTTTCCAGCAGGTATTTCCTTCTTGCTGCCTGCACTATTTTCTTTATCCCATATTCCTCAAGCAAGGTGCAGATCTTGCCTTTTGTTTCCTATTCAAATCTGACGCATGCTGCCTGCATTGCTGTTAGAAAGGAGTATTTTGGATCAGTGCTAAATTTTGCCTTCCCCTCATCACACTGTCCTAGGTGGACTGGGCTCTAAACCTCCCACTAATTTATTACTTCGCTTTCTGTGTTCCTCATCTTTACTGCAAATTGAAAACATGTCTCTGTAGGGTGCTCCAACTGGAAAAAGGGGCCTTGGTGATTGTAATGCTCCAAACAATTCATTTCAAGCACCAACATGATGATTATAGTTTGTCGTTTCTGGAGAGTAGTTAAACCTCATGTAATGAGGTTGCCAATTATTCCCTGTACTCCCCGATGTTTAGTGACAAATCAAAGCTACTTGGTGTACAGAAGTGCATTTGCTTGTTGAGCCCATGGTCTTGCATCCTCAGCAGGAGAGGATGCTTGAGGCCTCCGCAGCCAGTGTTTGGCCCGGATGCTGCTTAGGGTGTTAGAGGGTGGGAACTGGAGAGATTAGCAGGGGTGGCAGAGAGCTGTGGGACATCTTCCTTGATCCCTTCCAACCTGAATGGTTGGAATGGTTGATCAACCAATGGTTGATCACAGGATCAACCCCCGTAAGCAGAAAGTCTGAAGTGTTGGGCATAAATGCTTCGGTGGAGAAAAGAGGATGAGATTCTACTTCTTGGTGTATTCTCCAATGGGAATCGCTTTTGTATAGCATGTTGGGTACATTGGGATGAGGATGTTATGTTAAATGAGCTGGTCCTTCTGACTAACCTACAATCTAGGGTCGTCTAATCCAACTGTCATCTCACCCCACCATGCCCAGTGACCACGGCTTTCAGTGCCACATGCCCACAGTTCTGAAACACCTCCAGGGACGGTGACTCCACCACCTCCCTGGGCAGCTGTGCCAGTGCCCAACCACTCTTTATGAGAAGAAATTTTTCCTAATATCCAAGTATGGAGGGTGAGCCTTCCTGTGCCTTGTCTTGATGCAGCTTGTGCATTCTCAAAGAGGCCTCTTGAGACTATTTTAAATCCTAAAGTCCTTTCGCTTTTCCCATTGGGTGAGTGGATTTCAGCATCAGATTTATTAACAACATTTTGGAGCTGCAAAGCAGGCAGCTAACCTTTTGGGCTAGAGCACACGTCCAAGTTCTGATTGAGTCAGCAAGGCTCAGGGTAACATTTATCATGACTTTGGCTCCAGGGGAGAAGCCGTTGTGCTGGGGCTTTCCTGACCCCCTTCAGACATTTTCCATTCCCTCTTCTCACCAGGCACCATATGCCAGGCAGCTGAAAGCACGTCGCTTCAGTCTATTGAGAGAATTTTAAACTTCACTGCTGACTTTTAATCTTGTTCCCAGAGGTATTTCACCCCAAGAACTGAGACAGATAAGGCAGCAGCAGGTGTCAAATGAATCATCGTAACGGGTGGCAGTAGCAAGATGAAAGGATATTCATTTCTTTGGGGAGCCTCTTGTCATTTTCCTTAGAAAATAAAAGGGAATGAGCTGGCCCATGCTGAGAGATGGTGGAAGCTGTCAGGCATTGCCTACTTTGCCTTTGCGCTCTTTGTGCTGGGATTTGTATCACACCCTCCAGTGGGAACGGAGCCCTGTTGCAGTATAGGATGGCCAGACCGTGTAGTAAGGCTGGATTTGGACTTTGTAATGCACGGTGATTTGGTACCAGCCTTGCCACCTTCAGCAATAAATGTCCACCGTCTCGAACTCCCTCCTGCAAAAGTCAGTCTGTCATTGTTCTGATTTGGTGGATAAAGTTACAAATACACCTCTGCGTCTTAACATTTGAATTGGCACAGAGCTGCATCTCAAGGAATCCATTAATCTTGTACAAATGGAACTCCAGAGGCACAAAAGGCAGTAATGCCTTAAATATGGCTTTCCAATCTCAGCTCTGCCAAGTCCACCTTCGCCTCTTTTTTCCCCCTTCTTTTCCTGGCAAGATGGGAAGGTCTGTAGGTGGCCACCAAAGAACTGAAGGAGGCAGCAGGTGGTTCCTGAGATCTCTCCATGTCTGAATCACCATGGCTTCTCCCTCTCTGTCTCTTTTTATTTTTATTTTTATAGTCCCATTCTACTAAAAAATCCTATGCCTCCTGCACCTTCATTATGTTCAGCAAATCCTCAGGAAGCAAGAATTTTATACAGCACGAAAAAAACATTTATGCTATAAAGGGAGTAGAAACTGTGGAGTGGCCCCTTCCAAAAAGGTTAGATCAAACCTAATTATAACCTTTTTTTTCCCCCAAAGAAAGAACCGTGGGGACCCAAGCAGAGCCTTGACAAAGAGCCATGCATTTGCTTGCTGAGGCCAAGGCAATTAGATTTTGCACCAAAAAAAAAAAGCCCTAGGGGAAAACAGAAGCCACACCAGAGAAATCTGTCATCTGCTAGACCCTGGTACGCCAGAGGGGGGTGGGAAATGGATTTTCAAAATGCAAATAGGGGCCCATTGAGGCTTCACTCCACTTCAGCAGGGTAATTTTCAAACTTAATGATTTTCACATTTAATTCAGGAAGAAATTAGTCATCAGGTATTGAGACAAAGCAAGGCTTTCTCCTGTACTGGGATGTTTTCCTCTTCAAGCTGTGTTATCTCTGCAATAATTAAAATGTTCGCTGAAGTAGAAAATGTGCTATCTGATTCATTAGCCAGATTTCCCTTTGTAAGGTAACTTGTGTTTGCTTATCGGAAATAGAGACGGGCTTGGAGAAGAGGACTCTGGACACTAATGATTCGGAAGGGAGGAGCAAGGGATCATGAAACTAAAGCAGCTGTGTGTTACACAGCAAAGGGCTGCAGCCGCTGAAGCTGGTGGGGTCCATGCAGAAGGTGGTGTTGATCTGCTCAAGGTCAGGTATATGGGAGCACGCAGGCTAACGTGCCCAATGTCCCTTATGCTTCATGCATGGCCATGTCACCAGGCTAAAAAGGAGAATTTCATCTTGCACCCAGAAGTGCTGCAAGACGTCCCTCGGCAAGCAAGGCAGTGTTATGGGACAATTAAAAAATGAAGTGAATTTGGATGGAAGGAAAAGGAAGGGCCAAATGTGAGCTTGGACTGCTTGCGTCTGAAAGCTTGAGATAATGTGTGGTGCTCATCCACTGGCTCAGCGTTGTTCATTGGTAGCAGACGGGGAGAGGAGAAGGGAAAAGAATGCTGGGTTTTGCTGGACGTCTCTGTGGAGGAAACAAACTGGAAAGCATTGATCCTTCAGAATTTCAACATAAGCTGTATAGCATTTAAGAAGAGTGACAGGTGACTTCCTTGGCACCTCCTGTTATCTGGCTCTTTCGTTGGTACTTCATTCTGGTGTTGCCACTTTTCAATCAGCTTGTCTGAGCGTAATGCAAATATAGTTTTAGTACCATGTGTTTGTTCTATGGAGAGCGCCTTGAGCAGAGCCCACACAGTGACACGTCTCCCTCTTCCCTCTCTTCCAGTGATCCCCAAAGTAACAAAGCACTTGCTCTCCAATCCCGTCTTCACTTGCATCATCCTGGCGGCCTGCATGGAGATAGCTGTGGTGGCAGGCTTTGCTGCCTTCCTGGGGAAGTACCTGGAGCAGCAGTTCAACCTCACCACCTCATCTGCCAACCAGCTGCTGGGTGAGTAACCATGGCACTGCTGAGGCTCCAGCAACCAGAGGCATTGAAAAGTGTTCAGCATGGCTGCTGGCTGCAGCCAAGCTCTCTGATAAGGCTGCCCAAAAGGTGACTTGCCCAACACCCAGACACGTGATGTCTTTGAAGTATCCAGAAATGTATTAGCTTTGATGTACAGCAGAAATCCCAACCCACTTGGGCCATTTGGTTCCCTAAGAACACAACTGCTTGTCAAGCTACAGGGTCACCCATCTAACTACTTCTTTCCTGGTTCAGGTATCCCAGATTTCTCCAGCCCGTGTCTATTTGGTTTAGGAAGCCAAGTTTCTCCTGCTAGTCCCTCCTTTCCCCTTGTACTGGAAATGACAGGACTATAGTTAGCAGCTCAAATAGCCAAGCTCATGCACTTTGGTTGTCTTTTAAATTCCCCTTCTCTCTGAGCACACTATGCTGCTGCTGTTTTCCATGTACTCTGTTTTCCTCTACATTCATTTGTCCTCTGTCAGGATACTGATGTGTACATAGGATCTTCATTTATTTTTTCCTGCTACTCATTTCCAAGCAGTCTAATGATTTGTTTATGACATCCGTTCTCTCAGCAGTACTCATTTAAAATATCTGCAAGTTGGTTTGGGTTTATCTGTAAATACAGATCACCAGATGGGCATCTGGCAGCGACCTCTCGAAAACTGGGACGTCATGAAATGGATGGGTCTTACTATCAAAATAAAAAACTTGCAAGCTGCTCTCCTGACAGTTACTTATTTTCCCATTGACTGTTGGTATCTTTTGGTTGGCCCAGTTTTCCAAAATAAACAATCCCTTGCCATCAATGTTGCCTTCACCAGTGACACAGAGGTCTCAAATATGTTGGATTCTTCTGTCCTTCCTGAAAATTAAGGGCTTAGCAAAGGAAAGCAGCTTCGCTGTTGACCCAGTGGTAGAAGGAAAACCACTGTTTGTTGGAGGATGCCTGGCCAGCCAGCATGTGTGCAGCTGGCTGGTCTGTAGAGTGGGAATTGCCGTGAGCCAGAGCACGTCCTGCCTCTGACCCAGCAGGAGGAAGGGAGACTTTGATACTTCCACTGTCCTCAAAACAACTTGTTTAATTTAAGCAGCATTGCTGCCAGATTTCCCAGGTGGTGTTTGTAGGAGTCCATAAATGCCAGGATTTGGATGCGCTTCTGTGCTCAGCTTGGGTAGGTAAGGTTTGGAGCGTAACTGGCAGCAAAGGGATTAAATTGAACCCAGACAAGTTTAGTGTGATAATGCTTTTCTGTGCCTGAAAAGTGAGTCACTTCTGGCAGTGATTTTGCATCTTATGGTTTAGGAAGATTCTATAAGGGAGGTTTAATATTTTCTAATGCAACTATTGCCTAATCTCTGAATATCAGAGTACTTTGAAGTATACCAAGCAGGGTTCATCCAAAGTCTCTAGGCACTTCAGAATATTCTTGACTTTTCTGGCTGCCAGTTGTCACAGGGGGCAATAGAGATGCTGCTGGTTGGATTAGGATGGGCCTATCTCAGCAATTTTGCCATCCCCCTACAGTATGGATGAAAACTGAAAGAAGATCCCGGTTCCTCTGTGCAAGGCAGAATATCCGTTTGCATGCATTCCTCTCTGCTGGGCAGCCCCAGTTTACCCTAAAATGAGTCTGGAGAGAGCAGCACAGATTTAATTGTGCAGGGCCTGAGGCACGGATGGGAGTAGAGTGGTGGGTGAGTTGCTCTGCCAGTCCAGACAGGGTCTAACACTGCAAGGTACCGCAGCCTCTGTGGTTTGGGATTTATTGATTGAACAAGAAGAATATTCCAAGAACAAATAAATACCAGCTTGGTGCTACTCCAGTAGATGATGGTAAGAATGTTTCACCATGTAATAGTGCTGTTCACTGAGCATTACCTGCACTTGTTCAAGCTGATTTTTTCCTCTTGCAGGGATGACAGCAATCCCATGTGCATGTCTGGGCATATTCCTGGGCGGTCTTTTGGTGAAGAAGCTCAGCCTTTCTGCTCTGGGAGCTATCAGGATGGCCATGCTGGTGAACCTGGTGTCCACAGCTTGCTACGTGTCATTCCTGTTCCTGGGATGTGACACAGGACCTGTGGCAGGGGTTACTGTTCCCTATGGAAACAAGTAAGTCCCCGGAGTTTCAGGGTCTCCCCTCCAGCCAGCCAGCAAAAGGCAAATCTCACTCAGCCTTGCCAACAGAAATGCCATGTTATTGTCCTCCATGAGCAGCCTTCAGGCAGTGCTGGCCCGCAAGCAACTATATGAAGGAAGCAGCTTAATTAGGGCCATGTCAAACAGTGCTCTCACTCTGAGGGCTTTCGTACCACACATCTCTGTAAGAGCTGAGTGCCTACAGCTGGCAAATGAGCTTTATTGAAAGCATACAGACTGAATCTAAAGGTGCCAGACCCGATTGTGAACCCGTGACCGCCTCTGTAGTGTTGGGTCCATTGCACCATCTGGTTTCTCCTGGCATCAAGGGACACACGCTGCTTCATTTGGTTTTTGAAGCACCTGAGGGGAGTTTGCAGAACCATGTTTTGGAGACAGGGAAACTCAGAGGTGGTGGAGAGAATATTAATGGCTCCAAACCCTTTTTCATGGGAGGAATGAGGTACCCAGTTCACTGTAGCATTCACAGGACTTGGAGAGAGTTAATCTGTATTTTATTTTCTGGTGCTTCTCAGCACATAGTGGTGACTGTTTCGAAGATGAAACCTTCAGGCTCTTGACTGCTCCCTGTTCTAGAAAAACAGAGCCCTTCCCTGGGCAAGGCTTTGGGGCTACTCATTAGAGAGGCAGCCCAAGTCTAACATCAGATGTCCTGTAGTGGAAAGATGGTGGCCAAGGCATTTCTGTCCCCAGGAGAGACTGTAGCCTGGTTTTCTTCAAACTGGGACCCAGATAGCCTGCAGTCTGCTTTTTCTAATTTTGTTTGCCTTATATGACCCCCTTCAAAGCCATGTTTATGTGGCACTGGTCAGAAAAGCTGGTATCAGCCTGTTGATTTGTTTTTCTGTTTCTCTTACAGCTCAACTCCAACCTCATCTCTGGACCCATATTCCCCCTGCAATAACAACTGTGAATGCCAAACTGATTCCTTCACTCCGGTCTGTGGGGCAGATGGGGTCACCTACCTGTCTGCCTGCTTTGCTGGCTGCAGCAGCACAGTAAGCAGCCTTTCCTCAGTATCTCATGTCTGTAGGAATGAATCTGTGAGAAGTTAGCACGTATCTGGTAGAGAGGCTCATTTGCAATCAGTAGTGGTTAAACCCCCAAAACTCAGATTATCCTTAGCTGTTTTTTGCTCTGTTGCAAAAATGCCCTCCTGCTCTGGCAGCAGCATGCCAGGGTCGCTCTCAAGGCAGGATGGCTTTTCTTTTCGTCCTTCTGCTCCTCCTTCAGTTTTTCCCCTCAGTACTGAAGCACAGGAACACAAGGGGAAATGTGCATGTATGTCCTTTGGCAGAACCCAAATCTTTTGCATGAGCTTGCTGGCCTGAGCTGTGGGAAAAGCTTCCCTCTTCTCCTGCTGCTCCCTATCTCCTCAGTTCTCCATCTGACTATGTTCACCCTGCTCAGTCTTTTTTACTCTTTTTTCCTTTTGCTCTTTTCCCAAGTTTGATTCCTAGATAGATATGACCAGACCCTGATTTCATTCAGTTTTATTGAAGATTTCCCTCCGCTTCTCTTGCTTCTCTCTTTCACTCCTTTGCTCTGAGGCAATGGCAAGAGCAATTGTCAAGAGAGCCGAGATTCCATCCAAAGGCATTCAGCATTTCTCAGTTCTTAGGAATTTATTCCTTTAGAAAACTCCTGAAGACCAAACGATCTCTGTGTAAAGACGTGGAATTCTTAGCAATATCTCAGAGGTCTGGTTTTCCATTTAGTGCTGCTGAAATTCTAGCATCTCCTGAGTTACACCATGAGTGAGTGGGAGGTGAGCCTGGTCACAGTGAACACTTGCAGCTGCAGTGCTTGTCACATGCAATTATCTCTCCATGGCTGTGTCTTTCCTTTCTGAATAGGCAGCAAAGGCACAAGCTCATTGCTAACTCTTGGTACGGATGACCCAGGAGCTCACACCTCCACTGAATCCCCACTCCAGTCTTGAAGATGCAGACATCCCTTTGACAAGAGAGAAGCGCTATGGATTCAGGGCGCTTTCAGCAACCCCAGAAGGGAATCTGCGAGAGTGTGACCCAGGCCATGGTACATGTAAAGACGTTACCTTCTGCTCTCCTCTCAACAAGAGACACAACACTTGGAGCAGCAACGTGATGATTTTAACAAGAAGGCAGCTTGTCCAGGGCACACAATAGAGAATAGTGTCTCACCAGTTCCCTGAGCCCTTAGCAAGAGTACAACCAGTGTCGTTTGTGTCTGGAGTGCAGGAAGAACCACCTTGCTGTGTGACTTAGGGCAGAACTCTGACTCCTCTGGAAGGAGCACAGTAATGAAAATTCAGCTCTGCCTGTTCAGCATTCAGCTGCCTGACCTCGTGCTTCATAAGAGCAAACCTCCGAGCAAGAACCTTGCTCTCCCTTCCTCCACTTTTATTCACTCATTCTTTCTTATTTTGCCCTTTTGTCTCCATCCCAGAGTTCTTTTTGTTGCTTTGCTTTGTGTATTTCTTTGCAGTAGCATTTTAAACACAAATTAGTGAAGCAATAGCATTGTCTGGAAAGGGTATTACCAAGAGTTATGGACCAGTTTGGCAATGCAGTGGCCCTGAGGCAAAGCCAAATTTCCAAACCAGGTTTTAAACCCATAATCCAGGTAATGACCTGTCTAGAGGGTCTTGTGAATGTTATATGCTCGTGATGAGCCAAGGGTTCCTTTTTACTGAGACATAAAATTCTCTGAATGCTTTATTTAACTTTACTGCCTTGGACGTTTCTGACTGCCTCTCTCCATTTCTCCTCTGTGAACAATTTCTAAAAGCAGTTTGTAGCTCAGTTAGTTGTTTCTTTTTCATTTGTGTTCTCTTACTGAGCTGGTTCCAGGGGTGCACCTATCCAAAAAGCTTTACGAGTGTCAGTGCTGATAGCCAGAGCTCTGGCACCCACAAGAAAATCTCTTCTGGGCCATGCCCACAAGTGACCCATGCATACAAAGCCTTCTACTGTACTTCTTGTACTGCTTTTCTTAACATCCCCTTCGGCTGGAGGTGCATGTTTTCCAGCCTGGCATTGCAATGCTGGCATTTCAGGGCTTTGCAGGGAAGTAGCAGCTTGTCCCCTTCCTATCATCAGAGCCAAGGTTTAAAAATTAGATGATTGAAAACACGGGAAATTTGTGTAGATAATTAATCCAAATGTAGGAAGCAAACTGCATTTGTGCAGCTTCACATGCCCACAAAAAAATCTGCTGGCCAGTGGAAGTCTGATAAATGTGTGATTGAATGGTGAGGGGGGAGTTGCAGAGAAGGGAATCTGTAATAATTTGGCATGGGTAACAAAAAGTTGCTTCTCCACAGGGTGAAAGTAAAAGTCCATCTTTGATGTTGCCTTGTTTGATCTCTGTGAGTTGTGTAGCACATCAGTAATAAAAGATCAAAGATCTCCCAAGTAAGGATGAGGCACAGCACAAAGCAAGCAGATGTAGTTGGTACAAACTACTTGCATTGCTTTGGGACACCACTTGGGTACAAAGTGGTTGAAAAAATGGGTGGAGGGGCCAAGAGTCAGGGTACAAAGGTAGGGTCCAGTGACATGGCTTGTTATAGCAGGGATGAAGTTAGGTTAGTGGGAGGAGAATGGGCCCCATCGTTGCCAGAAAAAGGTGCTTTCTTTCCCTCAGTGAGAGCTTGTTGGAAATAAGCAGCCAGTTCTTCATCTTTGCTCTGATGGAAGTTTAATCCCAGGATATTTCAGTACAGCTGTGCATTTAGATGGGTTTTAATCTGCAAGGCCGTGTCCTGGCTGTTTGGTTACCAGCAGTGCGCTGCAGTAAGAACCAGGAGTTACAGCGCTGCACTGCTGTCACTGCACAAACACCTCTGCGGTGCTGCTAATTGCCACCAGCTCGAAGCCTTCAGGTGGCAGCTTCTAACTCACAGCACAGAAGTTTGTTATTTTAATGAGTGTTTGCCAGCAAGAAAGGCACCTGCATGTCTCCTCCAGCTTTCCTGGAGTTCTGCACTGCAGTCTCTCTTGCCCGCTATGCACTTGTGTGGAAGAAAATCATTTGACTCCTGCACAGAAGAAAGAGATCGGTGTCAGAAAGGCTAGAGCTCTGTCCCCATGGCTCCTTTACTTTAGAGGCAGTGAACCAGAAAGTGTGCTTCTGTAAAGTCCTAAGGGGACCCTGATAGAAAAGCAAAGGTACTTCTACTTTGATGTGGTGGAGGGGAAGGGGAGGGATTTAGCTGTTTTTCCATATGTTTTACTTTATGGCATTATTTCTCTTACAAACATGTGACCTGCAAACCCAGCAGCCCCATGAAGACAAGCCATGAATCATTTATGATCGTTTCATTCTGTATTCATTAAGGGATTTCTTGGTAGTATTGTGCTCCTTAATTGCATCGACATCCCCTGCTCAGAAATTCAGGAGGGTGAGCTGGAAAATAAGAAAAAAACTGAATCTACAACTGGCAAACAAAGCTTCTTTTCACACTCTGCACTTGCTGAAGACGTCAAAGAAAAATTCAGTCATTTCTCCCTTTCTGATCATATATTGATAAAATTTACCGTGCCCAACTTTTAGCTCCACAAAAAGTCTCTGTGAACCTGATGTCATTTGTTGGCCCCGGAGTGCTCCTGAGTTCAGCAGTGTCTGTGGCACGCAGCTGAAATAGTCAGCCCATGGTGGTCTGCTGCACCTCCCATGGCTGTCCCCTTCCCAGCACTCAGAGTGCTGGAATCAGGCACTCAACCTACAGCCAGGAGCGGGGCTGCAGACTTACCCGGTGTTAATGTACTTCAGTTTAATTGCAAGAGCCGAGAAGACAGAGGTAAAGTGGAAAGTAATTAGAACCATAATTTGGGGTTCTTTTGTGTCTCGGGGACAGAAATCGTTTCTTTATTCTTCTCTGAAGGAGTATAACTTGGTAATAATTTTGTCACAGTGACATTTATGGGAGAGACTTGAAAGGAGCAGACGAAAGAAACAAGCCAAGGGACGGTGTTTCCTTGCTGGTTGCATGCATCAGAGCTGACACGCTCCTGAAACCCTTCCCAAGCTCCCCTCAAATAAGCACTTAGGAGTGACTTAATTAACTGTGGGAGGGCTCGTTGTGGCTGTGGCATTACAGAGGGTGAGCAGTGGGGCTGTGACTCTTGCTTTCCCTGAATCCCCGTGCTCTTCTGCAGAACCTCAGTGGCTGTTCCTGCCTCAGCTCGGTCCCTGCCGAAAATGCCACCGTCGTTCCTGGGAAATGCCCCAGTCCTGGCTGTGAAGAGGCCTTCTTGACATTCCTCTGTGTGATGTGTGTCTGCAGCATGATCGGGGCCATGGCGCAGACGCCATCGGTCATCATCCTCATCAGGTAACCCCGTGGCTCACCTGGGGGCTGCTCTCAGGGAGAGTGGGGTCATGGATGGTGGCATCCATGCTATGGCCCCAGTGGTGCATTCAGTACTGGGAATAAAGGGATAGACTGTGTACAGTGCCGGAAAAAAGGGAGCGTGGGGAGGGAGGTGCAGATGTGCAGCAGAATGTGGGCGTTACAGTTGCATCAGCAAAGTGGCAGTAGTGCAGCCCTATGTTCTTAGCAGGTAAGGGCTTAATGAGATACCTGTAGAAATGGCCTGGAGATGTTAGAAACCATGGAAAAATGAAAGGGTGTTGCAAAGGTGAGTGTTGGTCAGTGCCGCCTTGGCTAGAGTTTGACTTCTCTCATCCTGGACCAAGTCCAAGAACAAAAGGAACTTGAAATTGTGAAGGACGTCTCTGAGTAGAGCCAATATGAATAGCTGAAGTAGTTTATTCAGATATCTGACCTTGTGTTATTTCCAGACACGCGGAACACTTCCTCCTGTGATATAAGCATTATACCTAAGCCCACGTTTATCCAGAATTACTTATCTGTCAGGACTGTCACTTACTGCAAATAATAACCAGAGGCATAAATAGCTGATCCATTCTGCAGCCTGGAAAATTCCAATAAAGTCCAATCAATAAGGTTTGTATTAGAAGCACACTCTTCAGTGGATCTTGGACAGAACGGCTCTGTGAGGGCATGTGTCCCTGCAGGATACAAAATGAGATATTCCACCTACTGCTTCTTTTCTCTCTTTGCATCTACGGTAGCTAAAGGGAAATCAAATTTCTCGTGATAAATATTGTGGCAAAAGCAATCTGAAGTTTGAAGGGTTCTTTGTTCAGGGGAACTGCCAGCACCTGTAGGATCCTGAATGGAGTTGTCTTCGTGTCGACTCCAAATGAGATAAGCCAGTCAGCCGCCAGGAAGGAGAATACAAGCAAAGAAAAAAAGGAAGGGAACATTAAAAACACTCATCTCTCACTTCTGGGAAATAAACAGTTCACCCATACAAACTAGCAGCTACACTTCTATCAGAGTTTTAGTTTTTAGCTACTAAAATGTGTGGGAAAGAGCTGTTCACCATATACAACCTCATGGTCTCTGTAGTTTTGGGTAAAGCATTGCTGGAAGGAGGTGCTGGCATGTATTCATGGAGTCTCTGGCAGGGACAAGTGGCATCATCTGCTTCCTGTGGTTAACTTAAGAATGAACTCCCCTCTCTGAGCCAGCATGAGTTACGCTGGGACCAGTAGCTTTGGCATGTACCTGAGATGGTCACTTAAAGAGAACTGAAGTTTTGGTCTGGAAACAATTCCATCACATGTAACTGCTTGAAGATAGGAGAGCCACTTTGGGGTCTGGAGACTGTCTGGGATGATGGGTTGCAGGGGGGAATAAAAATATAAATAGGTTTGTCTTCCACTCCTCAAAGCCTTCTGATATTGCTTGTCCAGCATCTAAAGGGAAGCAGGTGCCATGAGGGCAGGAATCACTGCAAGTCCGTACCCCGAAGAATCTGGTGTGAGATTTGTTTGCTTCAGTGTCTACTAATTAGATGTCTTGTCTAGGAAAGTCGTTAGTTCACTGTTGTAGGCACTAAAGAAAGGTAGTATCTCCAGGTGGCAAATGTTACTTCACCCTAAGGTGTGGGAATGGACTTTGGTCTTAAATACAAAAAGGTGGACGGATGAACACCACTATTAATTAAAAACCCACTGTGAATTTTTCAGATGACTGTCAATTTTTTCATAAAATAAACCTTGATACTCTTTTCATTTCCTTTATTTCCCACTCTACTGTAGAATCCTATTTGAGCCAAGCCATTAACTACTTGAATATTTTTCCAAGAGTAGATTCTTCATGGCATTAAGTCTTATGTCGAGCCTGGGTAACTCTACTGAAACACAGCCAGAGGTTTGGGCTTCATGCAGGACTCAGGATATCGTGTTACATGGCCTGTGTAATGCATGAGATAAAGGCAGGTGATCAGGTGATCAGAATGGTCTTTTCCTAATTTAAAACCAATTGCTCTTTCTGGCTATTTTATTGGTATTGTGGGGATATATTTATGCCAATATATATGCAGTCACATGGGGATCGCTGTCTGCTTTCCAAGCCTTTGTATCCTCTGGGACATAAAATGCTATTATAAGACTTAAAACCAAATTAATGGTTTCTGAAATGCCAAAGATTTCTCTGAGCCTACCTCAAGAGAATACCTTTAGCCAGTAGCATCCTTGAGCTAAGCGAATTAGAAAGCCATGAATTATTTTTTAAGGCACCTATGAAGGCTAATACTAATGTGATAAACCGGGTTCTGTCCACAGCAAAAGGTGGGGCAGCAGTTGTCTTCCCAGTATAAAACAAATTCCATGAGAACTCGTTTTCTTGAGCATTTCCCCACTGGGAGGCTTGATCCAACAGTTCTGCTGAACATTTTGGTCCATCATCTTCCTTTCCACCCCTATTCCTTGTAGTCTGAGAAGACTCCAGATAAGAAGTTTTCTTTCCTCAGGTTGGATGTGAGGAAAAATTTCCTGTCAGAAAGAGTGGTCGGGCATGGGCACAGGCTGCCCATGGAGGTGGTGGAGTCACCGTCCCTGAAGGTGTTCAAGAACTATCTAGGTGTGACACTAAGGAGGACGTGGTTATGGGCATGGTGGGGGTGGGTTGGTGGTTGAACTGGGTGAGCTTAGTGATCTTTTCCAACCCTCGTGATTCCACGATTCCAGATGATACAAATTCTCAACATCTGGAGCCTTAAAAACACGATGGGGTAAATGCCAATTTGCTGAGATGAGAATTCCATTTTTCCCCATTCAACAGCAAGACCAGCTGCTGTTGTTAATGACTTTGCTAAATTCCTGCACCTATCACATGGCCACCACTGCAATTACTTTTGAGGCTGTAGGCGGTTCAGGCAAAGGAAGAAGAAAAGCCACATTAATGACTTTTTGAAGAGGTGGTGGTGGCATCCTGGCTGACAGCATGGAATTGCCATGGGGTGTGTTAATGAAAGCAGAACAATAAGAATCGATTTCACTGTCTCCCTCTCCTCCCTACAGAACCGTGAGCCCCGAACTCAAGTCTTATGCTCTGGGGGTGCTTTTCCTGCTTCTCCGTTTGCTGGGTAAGTATAAAGATGTCTTGTCTTTCTCCCCATCCCCTTCCTCTCTCACAGAAAACACTGTTTTTAATATGCAAGAGTTGATTTCTACTTCGTGCATACTTACTTGACATCAGAAATTGCAGTTGTCATGGGTGGGATCTGATGCGGTGGGGTCCAAGACCTCCCTGTGAAGAATATGGCATCCAGATTCCCAAAGGCACTTTTCCTGCCACGTCGATTGTGCTAATGGAAGAAAATGTGGTGTTGCATGAGAAATGACCATTTCTGCCATGCTCCCACGCAGCCAGCCCTCTCCTATAGCTATTAACATGTCAGCAGCTTGCACAATTACTGCTTGTATTGCGTATGGCTGAAGTAGAGGAATACGTATTTTTATCCTCATTTGAGGGACAGGACCTGTGTTACATAGGGTGTGTTTGTCCCTTCTTTCTGGTGTCTCAGAAAGGAAGACAGTAAAATGAGGCAGGCAAAGTCCTTGTACTCTCCTGTGGGTTAATATCCCATTAAAAAGCAAATGGCTGTTCCTTCCTCTGGACCAGAATGTATTTCTCATGTGTGAATTAAAAGGAGCACACTGGGCTTTTGTTTGCCTGCTACTTATTTCTAGGTGTTGGTTTTTTTCCCTTTTAAAGAGATGGCTCCTATTTTACAACCCCTGTATTTCAGCTCATTATCTTCATGACCCATCACTGTGTGGGTGCACATGGTTTCTGCCTGTCTTGGAGGTGGGATTTGTATTTTTTTTAAGGCTCCTGCAGCAGAGCACCGGCAGCGCCTTCTCTGCTTGATCCCCAGTCACAAAGTTAAATGCCATCTTCTAGGCCGTAGTAAAGTTCTAGGAAGTAGGGGACCAAAAATCCCCGTAGTACCTCTCATTGCCTTGAGTAAGTACTTTATTTTTTTTAGTAAGAACTCATTCCCCATGAGCTGGAAGGGAAATGGTGGTCCCAGACCAGTTTACATTAAAGCCAATTAGATTTTCATTGCTCTTGGTAAAGTAGCTGCAGTCATACAGAAAGCTCCATCAAGCAAATGCACCAAGAGCTCAGAGAAGTCAAAGGGTTGCGTCTGGATTGGGTTGGCTCTGGTTCAAGCCTTGCAAAGACAGCATTTTCCTTTGCTGTCAGTGCTGCTCTCAGGTTTTGGCCTGTCTCTGCAGCTCTTGCTGGCTGAATGTGGGGTGTCGTCAGGCAAGTCTGCAAGGAGGGTATTGCAGACTGTTGTTTTTGAAGAAAAAGGTATTTAAGGGGAAAGATTTTCTCTCTTTCCTATTCCTTTTGAAAGAGAGAAATCTTCTGAGATAGCATCATCTTCAATTCCACTAAAACTGAGCTCAGACATGTATACTGAAGATAAATAGATATTCTTTTTCTTCCAGTGAAGAAGCCATAGTGAGAATTCAAACTCAAATCTTTATGTGTTGCTCTGTCACTGAGGAATTCCCTTGAAATAAGAGAATCCATCCCACAGAATATCAGCAATGTAGCTAGAGCCCATAGAAAATGAAGAGAAAGGTGCTTTTCAAGATAAGCCAGGGTATCCAAATCTTGCCCTTAACAATCTGACTAGCTTTACTGATATATTTTAAAAGCATTTCAGTTCACCTTTAGCTTTGACTTAAGAAGAGAGTGGTAATAGCTGCTTCTTGAACCAAAGGAGTGTATTAAATATACGTGGTATGAGACCCAGAGGTGCAATCGGAGCTAATAGATTTCAGTAAGACAGAAGCAGCTTTTTTCTACAACCCTGCAGTTTCTGCAATGAAATATATATAGCAGATTTTTTTTTTTGCAACACTTTGCAATAAGAGGGAAAGCATGATTGAATGTCTTTAATATTCACTGTAATAACATGAAACACAACTGAACTCTCCCGATATCCTCCCGGACATATTATCTTATTCCACAGGAATTCTGCTGTGAGAGAGCAGCATAACAGTGTCTTCATATAAATGTGCAATAGTGGTTTCTTGGAGTGTAAAGCGAAGTGGTTGGAGCCAAAGGTTTTTGAAAGCAGCAGCTTCTATACAGGGGGCTCTTGCTTGGGAAGTGCAGTGGCACAGCTGCCCAGGGAGGTGGTGGAGTCATCATCCCTGGAGGTGCTCAAGAACCATGGGGACGTGGAACTGAGGGATGTGGTCAGTGGGCATGGTGGGGTGGGATGGGGTTGGGCTGGGTGATCTTAGTGGTCTTTTCCAATCTTTATGATTCTGAGGCATTGAAAACATGGAGAACCAGCTGAAGCTGGAATGGGAATGATGGCATTTCTGAAGTCCAGCTTATACATCTCCAAAGCTTTGCATCAGCATCTCTCAGCATACTAACAAGTATGGACTCACACCTCAAAATTATGGTCCAAATGCAGCCCTCCCTTAGCACAGAAATCATGCAGCTGCTGTTTCCTTGCCCACTACCACATCTGGATGTTAGCCCATAGGTAGGTGGCATCTGGAGGCAGCACAGCACCAGGCACACGAACTGCGCTCAGCAGCACAATCTCTTTGCCTGTTCGTGGCAGGAGTCTGGCTGAATTTTCAAGTGCTGGATTGAGTTTGCAGTTGTCCACAGGCTTCAAAGACAGGCATCTTTTAACTTAGAAGCAAATCCAGCTCAGCCTAGACTTTCCCGTCACTGCAGTGACAAACATGGAGCTGGCACTGACATTGTTTGCAGAACATAACTGAGTTTTAGATGTGATGACTGGAAGTCATGTTTCTAACAAACACATTGTCTTGTTTTTGTATCATCTATTCTTATTCACCACAGTCATGGTTCAAATGTGTACCAGAAGCCTGTATAGCCTTTCTTTACTCCTGTAGTTATTAGCGTATAAAGAAAATCAAACATAACCTGCAGAGCTCTAGTCATCAACAAAATAAAAGAAAAAGATCTCAGTTACCACAGGGAACAGTGACTACAACCAATTTATTTGTAGTCTTAGGATATATGTCATGAATGTCATTATTTTGTTCACGTCGAGCTGAAGGAAAGCACCATATTCAAACCTGGAAATACAGGTTAATGATGAAATTGGATCCAAGATTAAATGCTTCCTGTCTAAAAAGTGCAGTCCTTGTGTCTATGTGCCTACGTGCGTATTTATAGTCACAGCACCTACAGATGGAGTGATGCTGTCAGTGCCCAATCTCAGAGAGCTCATTGTGCCCACCTGCTGTTCAGTTCACATAGATGGTGTTCTCCTTTGCTTGCTGTCTTAGCATGCAACAGTGGGCTTTTTGGGTTTTGTTTCTTTTTCCTTAGGGCTTGTCCACTTCCAGCCTACCCATAGAAATATAGCAGAAGAGGGAAAAATGGTTTGTGTTATGTAGAACACGCATGTTTTCTTCTGAGTGCTCCATCTCAGGGAGGTCGTGGAGTCACCATTCCTTCCTTGAGGTGTTCAAGAACAGTGGAGATGTGGCAAGAGGGACATGGCTTATTGGGCATGGTGGGGATGGGGGATGGGGTGGTGCCTGGACTAGATGATATTAGAGTTCTTTTCCAGCCTTAATAATTCTATGATTCTATGCTCAGTGCCTGGTGCAGACTGGGGAGTGCGCAGTTGGGTGTGGATGATGCCCCACTGTTGGAACGATTTGAAATGGGGAAAGTTCTACAGCAATCCCATAGGATGGGAGAAAGTAGAGAGAAAAATGTCGCATTTATTGGTTAAAAGGGGTTGGAGTGATTGGTCTGTTTTTAGATTGCAGCTCTGTTGCAGAACGAGACGTGCTCATCCACAGTTAGCTGCAGTGGCTGTAGGAGAATCCTGCTGTGATATTTCATTTAATGGCACGCTGAAATTTTCCCTTGTTTTCATATTTAATCAATGGAATCCATTACAGGCCACGGCTTCTTCTCCTTAGATCAGGAGAAAGCCTACTCCTGTGTCAGGGAAAGGTCCAAAACCAGATCTTGGTGCTGCAGCTGATTTCAGACTGAACTGGAGTCTGTGACATCCTTCAAGTGAAAGCCCTGGAGTGCAGAATTACCAGCATCTAAACAGAGAGCAATCTACAAAGCCATCCTCCTCCTTTTTCATTTACCCCTCCATGTAGTCTCACTAGACAAAAAGAAGCTTAATGAAAGGCACTTAAACTTGAATAAAATCCTACCTGCATTTGGGATATAACCAGGAATCTCTTCCATAGACATCGACTCCAAGCTAAAAACTCATATCCGCACACTTTGTTTAGGTTGATTTAGAGCTAAAAAAGCCAGCAAATCCCAGGCTCCATCTGGGACCATTAACCTCGCTAAGTGCCCTCGCTTTCCGTTCAGTGTAATCACGTCCTCTCTCTTCATCATAAAGATCATAAAAGCATGATTTGTCTCTCTTATTTTGACAGGTTTTATTCCACCTCCGTTGATCTTTGGGGCTGGAATTGACTCCACATGTCTGTTCTGGAGCACGTTCTGCGGCGAGCAAGGAGCCTGCGCGCTGTACGACAACGTGGTCTATAGATACCTGTATGTTAGCATTGCTATAGCCCTCAAGTCTTTTGCATTCATCCTATATACAACCACCTGGCAGTGCTTGAGGAAAAACTATAAAAGGTACATCAAGAACCACGAAGGTGGTCTCAGCACTAGTGAGTTTTTTGCCTCTACTCTCACCTTAGACAATCTGGGGCGGGACTCAGTGCCCCAAAACCAACCACATAGGACAAAATTTATCTATAACCTTGAAGATCATGAGTGGTGTGAAAATATGGAGTCTGTTTTATAGTGACTGTGGAAGGATGGACTATATTAATAACCCAAGGGTCCTTTTTAATAAAAATGAGAAGAGAGAATGAAGAAACAAAATTACAAGACAACAATGGCAACACAGGAAACTTTTGTCTTTTTCTCAAAGTCAAACCCAGCCGGGATTCTTGAGAACGACGTCTTATAGTGGGATCACTTGTGATATCCTGCGGGGTGATGGAGAAAGCAGGGAGCTACCAGTCCCTTTGGTGACAGTATGGGCTTCCAAAAAGGGAATCGCCAGAGGGCATCCTCAGAGGTTCATTGGAGAGCTCAGCCAACAGAGAGCCTTGGGCACGAGGTGTTGAGGAAGCAAGATGATGATGGCAATGCTGGAAGAGGCATTTGCATCCCGGGGGGCCATCTATTCCCATAGTATGGGCTGAAGGATCCGCCCTTCGAACCTGGGTGCTGCTCAAACCCAACGTGCTCTGTGATGTTGCTCTGACACCAGCCATGAGTCCACGATAAACACCTTGAAAGCTGCTGGAAAGCTTCCAGGTAGCGAGCAGTGCTGTCCCAGCACCCGAGTCCTTGCAGCCGAGGCGTGTTTGCAGATCGCAGCTTTTGGGTTGTCTCTGAATAGCTGTGCTCGGATCTTTCAAACCCAGTAAAGTTGGAGATGTTTGCTCACGCTTGCCAAATGTGCTGTCATTTTTAAAGAGGGATGAATTCCAAATATTTGTCTGTGTAATCCTCTAATTTTTGAGATTATTTTCAAATCTATGTTAACCCTTAAATCGCTGACACTTTTCCATAGGGAGGGCTTACTCTGGTTTGGGGGAGGATCCTGTTGAATAATGTGACTCAAGGGGTTTGTTTAATCCTCTGCATTTTTTATCCATACGCCTTCATTCTAATATGCTACCAAGCCAATGAAGACACATAATATGTTTTTAAAAAAGAGAACGAACGCACTGTGTCTCTATAAAAACAGTTGGAGAATTATAGATAATATGATGATTTACATAATATAGTTTTTTCATATTCTATGTGACTCAGTGAATACATATATATGAAGGGAGAAACTGTTTATGTTCTCTCCTGTTTTTAAAGATATATATATATATATATATAATTTGCAATCTAGAAATTGTGTGGTGGATGTTTTCTTTAAAGTACATGTGTGTGTGTATGTACCAGGTGAAAGGAGTACTGACCTTAATCTTCACAACAGGTATTTTTCTCACTTGAGAAATTCCACTCATTTCCATGGAAGCCATGTGAGGAAAGTAGAATAATCTCCTGGAAGCCACATTTTGCCCTGAGATGTGCAAAGTGTGTTCCTCTGGAAGGCTGGGTTATGGGAGCAGAGGCTGGCCAGCACTGAGCACCTCTGAAATGTTCGTTCATATCTTCAGGAGGTGGCCATGCAGAACAGATTTGCCTTTGCCTTTGCCATGCAGTCTTATCCAAGGCTGCGGAAATCAAGGGGAAGCTTTCATCTGATTTCAGGAAGCCATCAGGTCAGGCTTATTTTGTATGTATTATTTTTATTTTCCAAAACATTCCTGTTGGGAAGCAATACTAAGTGACTGTGTTTGATGGGTTTTCCCTGGCCAGAAATGGAAACCAGACCCGTTTCCGCTATCAGAAGGGTTTTAAGGGTCAGCATCATAATCAGGAACCTCCTTTTTTGTTTGTATTTTGAAGCTGTTGTGAACGTGCAGGTTGTTCAGAGAAGTGAGCCGGCGCCTTGATCCGAATGCTGGGCATCACTTCCATGCAGCTGATGGGCTGATCTGCCCCTGCTCCTCACCCACTGCTGGCAGTTACAGGGGCTGATAACCCACTACTCATTTTTAGCAGACCTTGCTCTTATCTGGGCATTTACACTCGGGTGTGGGGCGCCAGGCTGCCTCCACACGATTTGCTTCATGAACGTGTTTGTAATTTATGCACAGCATTACAAGTTCAGCATCAACAAGGGCGAAAAAAGAGTGAAATAGGTATATCAAACAAACTCCACTGTGCCAAATACTAAACAAATGTTACATCTGCAGATCTTTGGTTCTTGGTTTGCAGCCATGCTAAGAATCACTTGGGTAATGGAGGAGTTTAAGGGAAAAAAAGCTACAAATCTCTGCAGTGCCATTGTTAGGTGCAGTGGTAAATGATGCTTTTAGACCATTAGATTTGTTTAGTATATCCTGTCTGCTAGAATAAGAGATACTGCATCCATAAAACAATGAATTTAAAAAAGACACAGGGTGCATAACTGTCTCATAAAATATGTATAATTGTCAAGTATAAGCCTTTGGAATCATTCTGTACAGTTCTCTTCATTCTCAAAATTTATTACTTAGACTGCTGTCTTTTCAAATGTTAGCTCGTGATGCTGTACTGTACACACACATTCAGACTTGAACACAAACGTTGGAGAATGGAACCTTCCTCAAAGCCTGGCTCCTTGAAATTCTGTAGCTCCTTTTGTAATTCAGATTTTCTCCTCTGAAGACCCAAGGTGAAGGAGAATGGTATGGTGGCATGATGGAAAACAAGCTCCCAGCATTCAAGAGCTGTGGTTCATCAGTCTACTCCAAAGTTCCCTTTGACTGGAGTTACAGAAACAGGATTCCAGTGCACTTAATGCTTTCAATTTTATTTTTTCCTTTTTGAATTCTTTTTTAATTCTTTTTTAAATTTAATCTCTTCTCTTGGTATGTGTGGGAGATGTGATTGAATGAAGTTACTTCTATTATTTTTGAGCTTAACTTAAAATATCTGCACGATTGTTGTTTTATGTCTTTTGTTAATGTGTATTTTGCAAAGCTCTCTTCCCATCCCACTCTTTCTTTGTTTTTTTCTAGTGATCTATCAGATGCCTGCATCATTAAGGGCTTTACTGTCATTGCTTTGGTACAGGTTCAAAACAAGGGTTTTATTTCAAAGAAAACATGCAGACCAAACCTTCCTCCATCCCAGCAGGCTCTTTGCTTTTCTGAGCTCAAAATCACAAACAAGGTTCGCCTGCAACCCAGTCGTTCTTCTAGGATGACAGGTGAAGAGTCTCAACCATCCTCCTGCTTCCCAGTGTGCAGCGTGGGCCTTCGCCTGTGAGCACTTCACTTCCCACAACTGCCTTAACAGTGCAGCAAACTTGAGAGCAAAGGTGGAGGTAGAGAAGTGTCTGGGAGCATCAGTGGTGCCATGGTCCAAGCAGTGCACTCGGGTTTCACTGATGGAATTTTTTCTCCATATTCAGGGGCATTAAAACTGAGAGCTTTGTTGAGCCATTGGTCTCAGCAGAAATGTTATTTTGCCATCTCCAAGCACGGTGTTCTCTTTATGGCTGTCTGCTAAGGAAGGGGATGCTGGAGATGTAACCCACTTGAGAGGCAGCAGTCTTTGAGGGTTTGTCCAGTTGCCTTGCATGACTTCAGATTGGGGTTTCCTTTCTCTTGAATGGATACCACCCTGCCGTTGTCCCAATAGAATCAGAAGGGAGCCCCAGTCAAAAATCTGTGCAGATTACCATTGAGGTTTTTTGTTCGATTTTACATCCTCATTCAACACCAGGCTGCATTTTCAGAACCTTTTTTTCAATACACATTGAAGCCACTCATTTTTCTGTCTTTGCTCAGAACATCCTGGATGTGTAACGGGATCAAAAAGATCATCAGTTGAATTATCTAAACAAAGCCTCCCTTCCTTAGGAACTTGAAATGTTTCACAAGAAGAAGGGCCTCGCACTGCCATACCCTGCGAGATGCTCTGAGCTACTGAGTGCTTCCATCATCCATCCAGCTGGGTCTCACCTTGCTGCAGAGATGAAAAGGGGAAGGTGCAGAAAGGAGTCAGCGTCAGTTAATTGCAGTAGTAATGATTCAGAATTGAGCTGATGGGCTGCAGACATTTGGAAAGCGATCGGAGTGTTTCCAAATGGCTGATAGGATTGGAAATGCTAAGTCGTGGCCTGAAGCAGTGATTGAGCACCTGGTGGGAAGGCAGGGCCAAGCCAGGGGAGCTCAGGTGTATGCAATGCAATGCATCTAAGTGATGAAGGGGTGGAGCCAGGATTTATCCCTTCCCAGACCTCATTTAAGGGCTGGCAGTGGAGGTGAGGAGATCTTGCTGGAGATCCTGCCTGCCTGAGGTCTTTTGAAGGTATGTAGTTTTTCTTCCTTTGTTTCTGTGTCTACAGCTGCTATGTTTGAGCTTGCTTTCATTTGCTGCAGCCTGGGGTTGTGCTGCTCTGCTGTTATTGCTATACCTTCTGTCACGTTATGGCATTACACTGAGATACACTGGTGTTTTTTCTTAAATTAAAACAGAATAATAAAGGGTCTGAATGAGATCTGTAGTCTTTCCAATCCTCATCAGAGTTTGGTGTAGCATCCTTAGGTGGTCTTTGCTCGTCAGAAGTGTTAGAAGTGAGATACTTGGGGTTTACCTTTTTGTGTCCTGTGGGCACGGTGTTTTCTGAAGATCTGAGCAAGTCTGGTAGTGATGTTTGTTTTATTTTTGGTAGGGGACACAGGGAATTATCAGCAGTAAAGATGTACGCAAGTACTTTACTGAAGTCTTAACAGCTTTGGTCCTCTGTTCACAAGGGCCACTCTGCCTTTGGATGCAGCCATGCACATTTGTCTCCTTAATTTCATGTGTGTAATCTTTGTAGGAAGAAGCAGATGTGTTGTTGCTCTCTGTGTGGATCTGATTAACTCCTTTGAAGTAAACAGACCCCTTCTACGTTGGGCAGAGCACCCCTGAATGTAAGCAATAATATTCACCTGTTTCTGCTTCCATTAGGAGCTTGTTCCTTCCTTAGTGAAGGCTGAGCTTACCCCATTCCCACCATCATATGCTACTGCTATGACTCATCTTCTTTTGGGGGCTCCAGGAGGCTCCCAGCGTTCTCCTTTCAACATAATGCCCTCCTGTCCACTTAGCCTCCCACCCCACCGGGCAGCCAGGAGATAATTAGTTGCTGTGAACATAAGCAGCAATTAATTGAGATAGAGCTTCCAGGACTCGCTGGTGTGATGACCCAGCCTCCAGTGCTGCTGGACAGACCTGCCTTCTCAAAACCCACAGTTTGTGGACGTTTCTTCCAAACCAGCCATCAGCTTCCAGCCACAGTGCTTCCTTCCTTTCAGGCTGAATGTCATGAGAAATTTCTTTTCAAAAGAAGTGGTAATGCATTGGCACAGGGAGGTGGGGGGGAGGCATCACCGTGCTTGGAGGTGTCTGAGAACCACAGAGATATGGCACTGAGTGACATAGTGAGTATGGGTCAAAACTAGATGATTTTAGAGGTCTTTTCCAGCCCTTATGATTCCTCTAGTGGCAGTTCCTCACTTCTACTGAGTCAATGCTGGCATTTAAATTTGCTTAGGGTATGAGCAGGTCTCGGATACTTTCAAAGCACGATAGCTAGTTCTGCTTTGATGCACTAACTCTTTTACTTCTAGGCTGCAAAACATGTTTTCCATTGTTCCATTTAAATTTCTAGCCAATCTGAGTCTTAATAAAATTACTTTGCTGTGAAAATGATATTTCAGCAGGTCTTAGACTTCAGGTACTTATTTATTAACTAGTGATGCCAAGTATGATCTGTGGCTATTGTCTATTCCTTGAATCCAGTGAAGCAGATGAGGCTCCCTCTAGTCAGAAGCAATGCCAGGGTTTTCTTTTTTCAGAGTATCAGTGTGGACCTCTTGAATTTCAGCATTGCCACTGATATAAGCTGAGCTATGAGTATTCCTTAGTGCCGAGAGGATATTTAGGGGAAACCACGAAGGAATCCATTTAGATGGCTGCAAGAGTAGCAGCATGGATGTATGTAGTGCTTACGTACCATTCTGGTTGTCAAAACCTTGCTTCAGTCTGTTTGGATGGAGTGACTCTAGGGATATGGTCTTTGGCATGCAATGAGTTTGTGGTGTTTTCCCTTTTGGGATTAACTGCAGGAGAGCAGAGTATCACACCCCAGAAAGGAGAAGATTAGCAGTGCCCTGACAACTTCCAGCACTGGATTTGCTTTACACGAAGTCAGTGTCAGCACGTGGCAAAAAGCAATAAGGAACTTGTCAAGTCCAACCCAGCAAATAATTTATAGCAACTTCATAAATGAATTTTTCCTTTTATTTC